TCCAGTGTAGGTATTATGGTAGTAACTACTTGTCTCGTGTATGAGGAGTAAATAAAAGAGTTCAACTCACTGTTATCACAATGTATTTGTCCAGCACACGAGAAATAAACAGCTATTTATAACAACTACATCAAGAAGATGATAAAATACCCTCAAATACCATTTTGTAGTCCGAATTTTTATTTGTATTTTCCTAGAAACGAGTCCAGTAAGTCCACACCACCCATATGCTGATTATACGTTTTGACTACTTGGGGACAATCTACTTATATATATTTTTTCTGTTTCTTGCAGTACCTCTTTACGGATTGTGACGGCTGTTGACCCACAAAAGATGATGATAAGACAACAGGTTTGTTAACGTACCATAAAACTGTTACGATATCAGTTCCATCAACATCAGCCACCCATTCTTCGGAAAATCCCCTTTCCACCTTATCTTTTTTCAGGTCCTTTAGAGAAGGTATTTGAAGGTCTTTTCCTAAACGACCTTTGTTCACTGTCCCTAACGATTGTATTCCTTCTTTGGCCAAATATGAAATCAGTTCTGGAGACGTATAATAGTTATCAAAAAACAGTCGGTATTGTTGGTTCCGAGGTATACACCTTGCCAAACGTATGACAATATTAGAACTCGCCCCTAGGTCCGGCTCGCTTGAATACCTTTTGTTTTTTTTTTTTTTTTTTTTTTTTTTTTTTTAATGGGACTAATCCCACCCACACGCCCACCACTGTAACTCCTGTACACCAGGATCCATATCAGTGACCCACGAACACACCGAGTTATGACACTCGGGAAGTCCGAGGAAGAAATTAAACTGTCTTGGAACGCAACGAAATTAATCAGAAGAAAATTGGAGGAGTTGGAAATACAGTAAATCCACTTCCCTCCTTAGCAAAGCGGGAGACAAAATGAAGTAAAATGGGCATACACCCTTTTAAACAGGGGAGCACCACGGCCACAAATATTACGGGTCCTACGTGAGCTATGTTTGATTTAATATAATATGTAAGCTATAATATGTATGGCAGAATCGCCTAAACGCACGGAAATTCACCCTAGTTGACACAAGATCCCCATAGTATACCGCCCCAGATGTCACCTGCAAGCTATTCAGCATTATATTACGTTCATTATACCAAAGACTACATTCCCAGAGGATATGATGAGCAGACTGTTCATAGTGAGAGTTAGGTGTTGAGCATTGACACAATGGTGACTCGACTAATTTAAATGAATAAAGCTTGCTCTTAAAGTTACCATGACCCGTAAGAAATTGAGCGACACAGTGATCCACCTCAAGCCATATCCTCGACAACCGTTCGCGAACAGATGGAAAGAATTGGTAAAGATGGCGCCCCTTGGATGATTCATCCCAGCGTTGTTGCCATTCGTCTATGAGGTCATTATAGACATCGGGCTGCTGTTGAAGCAATCTTGTAATTTTACCGCGATCCCGCGCGCCCAAAAAATCGCATTCCATGTTTTGTTGTCTTGAATAGTACATGGCTGCACGTCTCTGCACCTCGAGATCGACCGGAAGCACACCCGCCAACTCCGGCAAAGCCTCAGTGCTAACCGTCCTATATGCCTTACACAAGAATATCAGTGCAAGTCGTTGGCCTTGTAACAGTTTGCGACGGACAGCGCCTACGGTCACCTTATCGGCCCATACAGGTGCACCATAGCACATAGAACCTAAATAAGTAACTCCGTATATGATCTTTAATGTATTAAATGATAGACCCCATGTTGCAGTTGATATCCTTGTCAATGCACAGAAACTCTTTTTAGACTTTTCACTAACTATTTTAATATGTTCGATAAATGAAAAGTTTCTTTCTAAAACTAATTCTAGATAACACACTGCGGTTTTATTTTTTACAGTAACATTGTCAAATCTAATGCTCGGCGGTGATTTGAGGTTACCTTTTAAAAGTAGCTGGAAGATTTTGTTGGGTGCAAAAGTTAAGCGATTACGTTCACCCCATTGAGATATCAAGTTCAAACATCTATTGGCTAATCTCTCAAGCCCCGCCCTAGTATCAGATTCCACCAGTAATAAGCCGTCATCAGCATACGCGTTCAGAGTACATCCGGATGGTATTGGTATCGCAAGAAAATCGTCGAAGCCGATATTCCACAAGTATGGACCTAGCACCGATCCCTGAGGACATCCCATTGTAAGCGCCTTCGACACAGAATGATGACCAAGTCTTAGTTTAGTTGTACCTTGTGAAAAGTACGAAGAGATGAGGGAATAAATATTTTTAAAGCACCCCCGTGATTTTAATTTCAGCAACAGCATGGGCCACCATGCGTTGTCGAAAGCGCCAGATATATCTAAGAAAATAGCCAGCACGTATTGAAATTTTGACCCTGTGACAAACTTTCTAACCGATATAACAGCGTCAGTTGTCGATTTACCCAACGTAAATCCAAATTGTCTATCATGAAATTTGACTCCACCTGGCAGAAGCCGGGGCACTACAAGACGTTCTAAAAGCTTTCCTAACGATGGTAACAATGTTATTGGTTGGTAGGATTTAGGATCATCCGGTGGCTTGTCGCCACTTTTTGGTATTATACGAATATTACCGCACCGCCATATACGAGGAAATATTCCTTCAGCAATGCAACGTTTAAAGACAGTGAAAATCGTGTCACCCGAAAGTTTACAAGCTTCTGTTATCATTTTGTTAGAAATTTTATCATCGCCCGAAGCCTTGTTTAGCGGCAAGGATCTAATGATACCGAGAAATTCGTCTGAAGATGGTAAATCAGACATTGGAGATAGTGGTGGTTCGATGGCCCACAGCCTGATCTGTCGGTGATGATGAGTGTCGTTTTCCGGTCGATCGTCAGGTACGAGTGAGTCTAAAAGATATTCTGCTGTTTGTTCTACTCCTGTGGTATATCTGTTATTAATTTTGATGTTCTGTATGTATGCAAGGTCGATTGATCTATTTGCCTAAAATTCGTGATACAAAGGTGACCACGGGCCCTCTCTATCGAGTTTATCAACAAGTTTCTGAATTAAGTTTCCCTTGGATTTTTCCACAGCAGCTCTGTAGTGGGACCTGGCAACTCTAAGAGCAATGAGAGCATTGTTGTACAAATCTCCTGTTACGTTAAGTTTTTTAATATTGTTTAATTTTCTACGAGCTTTCCGGTAGCTTCTACGTAGTTCGGCTAATCTATCATTCCACCAATCACATCTACGAGTGTTAGTGATAGATCCGCGACCAATAGTTACATCAGCGCAGTATGTAAAAGTTTCTGATAGTATTTCTGCGCTTTCCTCAGCTGATAAACTACTGCGACTGAAGTCTTTGGTATGAGTTGCAAAGAGTGAACCAAACAAAGCCCAGTTCGCACCTTTAGTTTTATATCTAAAATTATAGGGAGCCCTTTGTGGATCCTGTGCAACCCTTGGTATAAATTCGTACACGATCAAGCGGTGATCACTACAGGATGCGTCCGGAAGGACACGCCATCCGGATATCGAGACGTCACCGCGCGTAAGCGTCACGTCAATATAAGAGTCACCCATTGGGTTGCAAAAAGTTGGTGGTGCATCGGGGGTATTGTGAATAATAAGATTCATTTCCGCAATGAAATCTTCAACCGCACAACGTCGAACCGTGTCGGTTGAACGCAACTTGCCATACCATAATGAAGATGACGCATTGACATCAGCGCCAATGATAATTTTATGTCCCACGAGGAACTGCAAGACGTAACGTAAGTGATGTAAGTGAGGATCAATAGGATGTGAATATTGAAAATAGCAGCTCACTACGTAAACCTTACAGGTAGAGGATGAGATCTCAGCAACGGTGACGTCATAAGATTACGCAAAGATGTTACCGTAAAATTAGAACTTGCAACATATATCCCAGCCCGCGAACGGCAGTCAAGCTGTACTACATTACGACGCAAGTGAGCGCTCTGATATTGTTCTTGTAAAAGGACAATGTCTAACTTTTGTTCTAAAATTAAACGGTCTAATTCTGATGTAGCTATTTTATCGTTATGAAGATTTAACTGGCCTATCGAAATATTATTCATTACTTAGTAAGTTACTCTTTAAACTTTTTTTTTTTTTTTTTTATTAAATACTAAGTTAAACTATTCAGTAATTGGTATTTAATATTAGCTGTTCCAGTTTTAATTTGTATGTGGCACAGTCGTATGAGCCGCATCGATGGTCAGATGGTTTTTTGAACCGCTTACACTGTGCGCACGTGGGCTTAAAATCTGGTGTGTCTTTATCTGGACAAGCTCGCGTTTCGTGTGCGGCGGCGCAATTAGCACAAGTAGGGGTTTTAATGGTGCAAAACTTTTGTACATGACCGAATTGCTGACAATTTAAGCAACGAACTACTTCTATATCGTCTATGAATCTACATGTGGCCCAGTCTATATAAAGTTTATCTTTTGTGTTGGCTAGATGTTTCCTTACTGCTGCCTCTAATTCTAAGCCTATCCATTGACGCCCATTTTCTAGTTTACGATGCCTAACAATTTTGGTTGACTTAATAAAATCGTTCTCACTTAATTTTAATTCGTCCTTGATATTCTGACGGTATAAGGCTGTTAGGAAGGCACAATCTTCCATAGAACCGGGTGCGTCTTTTACAATTATACGGGGCCTAGATTTATTCATTCCATAGAATCGCCGTACCCCAAATTTACGACCGCGCAGTATACCAGATGTCGTATCCATCGCCGACACTCCGGTATATCCAAATTCGCTGTCTATTGTACCCAAATACGGTATTTCCTCAGGCAACAACCATGTTTCTTGCAAAGCTATCAAGTCACAGCTGCCACACAGCTCCCGAACACTATCTACTGATCGTTTGACATTCTTGCAATTAAAACTGGCAAACCGATATTTATTTGTATTCATTATTCTGCTTATTTCGACCGTCCATATATTTACATTCAATCCATTCAAAGAATAACGTTTTATTTTTATCGAATAATTTTATATCTATTCACTATCATCTTGCCCCAGGGCCGTACTCGTTAATGTTTTTGTTGTTTTTATCATAGGTTTGTAGTGTGCAAACCTTCTAAATATAACGCCCGGTGGCCATATCTGGGCATCCAAAAATACGGGTAGTTTATGCTTCGCGATAAAAAATTTGAACGCATTATGGTGTTCCTTGCCCCTTTTAATGTTCAACTTTTGCAAGACAACTGTTTCATTCGTTTTTCGAAATATGTACTCCACTATGTCAGATTCCAATGTATCAGTGTGAACATTGGTAATGAAGATGGGTATTTTTGTTTCAGCTGCCTTGAATTTGCTTTCGGCCTCGGTTGACCTACCCATCTGTCCTGCGTATCGGTATTTCGGCCTCGCTTTCTTGTTTGTTACTGTCACCCATCCGTCCCCAGAACCTGTATTGTTTGTACCGGCTCCATATTTACCTCTTGTTTCATCCTTACCCAACGCATTCCGTACGGTCATCATCCTCTCGCCGCAATAACAACGGATAGCCGGTTTGTTCTATGCGTATGGTAGGCCTCGGCGACAAACATTGTTTAGTGTTCACCTCACTGATTACATTTTCATTTACAGGTGACGGTAATAATCCTTTTGCGGGTTGCTCAGGGTGAGGCGATAGGATAACACTTTCTTCACCAACCCTCTGGCCACCAATCGTCCTATCCTTATGAATAATACTATCGCTCCATCCTTTGGAGGTTCTGTGCCCGGTCGTATTATTAATAATATCCAACTTGACTTCTTGAAGCTGTTCACACGTGATATAGTAAGATTTAATCGTCTTAACCTCTTCTCGTAATAGCACCATATCCTTCAATATTTGAGACACATCCAAATGATCGAACGTGATCGGAGGTAGTCTATTTAGATCTCGTGCCACAAATACTGGTATTACATCTGGATCCACAACCTTTAAGAGCGATATGATATCTGCTACATCTCGATGCTCCTTTTTATTGCTTTTACGTACGATTTTTCTTGTGGGTACCGTCTCGAACAACAGCGTTTTTGCTTTCTTTATCTCCGCACTCGAATAATTAGAAACACAATGTTTCTTCGTCCGCGACGGATATTTTATTTTGCAAATAAGCCAAAAGCTCGTCTATTACTACATTACACGAATTACATTTCACTATACACGACATATTGATTTCGCGTCCGTATCGCACGAACTCTCGCGCGAGAATGATTCAGTAACTAAGTTCAGTAATATTCGAAATGAGTAGATTTTGGTCCTAATGGTCGAATTTCAACCATATTTTTTTAGGTTTTAAATTCATTTTACTGGACAGTGTAACTTGAACCGTTTTGTAGACATGTCTTGCCATGACAGATCAACATATTAAATTGGACATAATGTGTAGTTTGATACAGCCATTTCAAAGTAATTATTTTTAAAACACGTGAAAAGAATTTTCTTTTATTCTGTTTAAAGAAAAAAGAAATCACTTTTGGTTCAATCTTCTACAATATTTTTATTTCATTCAAAAATGACTAGATTATCATAATTGCAACAGTCACACTATAACTTTATCAGCAAGTAAATCAAAATCGAATTGCATTTGTGATCAATAATTTAATAAAACTGCCCGTAAACATACATTCAATGGCTCGTGAAACATTATTTGCATCGTGAAAAACCAATAAACCGTGGTAGGTAGATTTCATTTAATAAAATGCGAGTACATTAGAATAAAAGCTGTGCCCCAGCGCGTGGACGCGCGGAGCCGCAGCGCAGCGGATATTGGATGCATCTCGATCCGGGGAACACAATGGGAGCTTCGTGTTTTCCAACTATCGTACACCTTGTTTGTTCACGAGGGTGGAAAATATTTCTCGGTACAAAAACAATGTTTGTGTGCTTGATAATTCAATTATACCAGTCGGAAGAGAGGGAGTTTGTAAATTTCAATTGTTTTGAAATACAAACATGCAGTTACGCCTATGTACTCCTCTATATGTTAAAGATCAACATTTTACCAGCCATAATTTTAGTCCCACTGTCTAAATATCATACTTTTGTTTTGAAAATAAGTAGCAACACTTACACACTCACAAACATACTGTAATCACACATTCATACAGTCCATAAGTTCTATGCTGTTAGTATTACTTTTAGTACAAATAAAATATCGTATCTGTGAAGACGTATTGCAAGTGTTTTATTCACCAGCTGATAGATAGAAGACCTTATTCCCTCAAACATATGGTCCATTTTCAAACCGGATTTTAAGAGTTGTACCGGCGATCGCTGTATCGAGAGAACAATAGCATCCCTGAGTGGATTATCTTGCTAACATCGAGTGTTTTAAGCAAATCAATAGCAAAATAATCATTCAAGTTTTTATCTATTTTGCTTGGATTTCGAAGTTTCTACGTTAACGTTTTAACGCATACGCATTTGTATCTACCTCCAACATAAAAACTTTAATGGTATATCAGAAGGAATTACTAGAAAACCTGAAGAAAGCGGAAAGAAACTTTAAAGACCGTATTAAACAACCATATTTGGAGACTAGACTAGAGAATTTGGAGCAATTATGGATAAGTTTCAAGGAAAGACACAAAACTATAATTGTCAAGGTGACCCCTAGCGAAAAGGAGGATGCGTATTTCATTACAAGTATGTACAAGGAGTTTGAAGAGTTGTATGTATCATACAAAACTCTTTTAAAGGAGAACATGCAGCCGTTTCTGATATCATCAACAAGTGAAACATCATCCGCGGTACCAAAATTAAGTGGTGGACACGCGGTTAGCGAGTGCGAATTTAAATTACCGCGCATACAGTTACCTACATTTAGCGGTAGATATGTCGAGTGGCAAACGTTTTATGGTATGTTTCATTCTCTTATTCACACAAATAACAAGTTATCACCTGTACAAAAATTACGATATTTAAAAAATAATTTGTCGGGAGAACCGGAATGTTTGTTACGTAAGTTTTCAACTACTGATGCTAACTACGAAGATGCTTGGAATCAGTTATTAAAGCGTTATAATAACAAGCGTTGTAGCCGCTTTTCTTGTCAGGCGGACTACTCACCGGCTTACCCAGTGGAGAGATTCACGAGATTACCTCAGGGCGCCTTGTAAAAAACAGAAGTGTGTGCGTGTGGGAAACCTAAGGGACTCCTTAGAGAAAGACAACTTACACCTCAGTCATACATACATGTATATTTCCAAACAAATTAAAGTTACAATAATAAAAAAATAAATTAGTGGGTATAAAAAAAACCCGCAGCGGCGCGCGTCAAGGCCGAGCTGATGCTGCTCGGAGCCTCCTCGTCTTCAATCCAGCAGGTCACTTCCACACCCGCAAGAGTCGGCTATTTATATTAGGTATAAAGGAAGGTTCAATATTGATATTAATAACATTAACAAGTAGTACGTAACCCTTGTATAAGGCTGTCCGCTTGCTTGGTGAGCCGCGTGACTGCCAGTTTACCAGAGGGTACTGAGAAACTCGATTTCGCACCAGAAGGCCACAAATTCAAGAGCACGCCGTCTGAGACTGATTGTCTTGACCCGAAATCTGGAGCCCTACGGATGGATTAGCACTCATATAATCGATAAGGTTCCAGAAACAAATAAGTACAAGAAAATTAAGAATATACTCACCACTGGCGTGGGTACTTCGAACAAATAAAATATTACTAAGATGAAATCACCAGACAAACAAAATACTATTTAAGATCGGAAGACAAGAATTAGCAGAGTGTCCCCTGCGGCTGAAAGCCGGACTTATATATGCTCGGTTTGTGAACTTTCCAGAAAGAATCCCTACTTTAATATTTTAAACTGTCACTCAAATTATTATCTAGGTTAACACGAACTAAATCAAAAGTAACTCGCTTCCTACCATAACAGGACACTATTAACACCAATACAATTTGTCAGGATAAATTCGTACTATGACTTACCAATAAAACAACGCCATCTAGTGGTCCGATGGCGGACGAAGAACATCAATACTATAGTTACAATCTACTTTGGATAAATCAATAAATGCGACGCGGGGCAATAGGTGTCGCTGTTTACAACTCCGTACGCAATAGAAATATAATAAAAAACAACTGTTACAGCGTTATAATTGTAATGAAGTGTTAATAGTATTATATTCACAAAAACAAATTCTTTGTGAGTCGGCTAGTGCTATAAAAGACATATTAGACACTACAATAACTTGTTTACAGTCTTTGCGTAATATGGAAATTAATATTGATAATTCAGATAATATTGATAATGTGTTTATTGTGTATTTTGTTATCTCAAATTTAGATCCTGAATCCATTAAGCAGTGGGAATGTCAACTTAGTAAAACTAATGATGTGTTACCGACTTGGTCTCAATTGTCGGAATTATGTTACGCGATGTGCATTAAAATCTTCAATAAAATCCCAGAACGATTTAAAGAACTACCATTAAATAAGTTCATTCCAGCCCTGAAAGATTGGTTAATTACAAATACATTTTATTCGGTCAAAGACTTTTTGAATGGTGGAGAGTAGTAGGTATAATTAATAAAAGTGAAATTATAATCAAAACACAAACACTGATGAATAATGATGATAATAATAATAATAATATATAATAATGTTAAATTAATAATAATAATAATAATGTTAAATTTGCATGCTATCTTTATGGCTAAATGGGCCTGTTCGCAATATATTGAACCTTTAATACCACAACATGTACCACCCCATTTATAGCAAATATATAATTTGAATTTGAATTTGAATTTGAATTTGAATATGTCGGAGATAATATTGGATGGAATTATACGTCATAATCAATTGGCGCAAAATCTTAGGTTGGGTATTATCTGGGAGGGTGTTAAATAATTCAAGCTCAGGTAACGTTATCAACATACATTTACACTTATGTGGAGATGAACTTCTTAGGAAATTCTGGGAAATGGAAAACGAGCCAAACTGCATACAGAAGAAGATGTCAAAAATAGAAGAAAGGTGTGAAGAATTTTACGACAGGACAACTACTCGAGATGAAGAAGGGAGATTCATTGTTAAATTACCTTTCGACAAGGAAGATCCAGAGTGTCAGTATGGGAAAACAGTGGCTATAGCAATAAGAAGATGGGAGTTTTTAGAGAAGAAACTACAAAAGAATCCTTCATTAAATGAAGAATATCACATGGTTTTAGAATCATATGGAATCGATCAAAGAAAAAGATATAAATAACCCTAAGGCAGTTTATTTACCACACCATCCTATAGTCAGAGCGGATAAGGATACTACTAAAGAAGGTGTAGTTTTTGGCGGTTCTTGCAAAGGAGTTAATAATTTTTTTCTCAATGACAACCTTTTGGTTGGTCCAAAATTACAACAGGACTTAAGACATATACTCATGAGGTGGCGAAAGCATAGGATTTGTATCGTTGCAGAAATCGTGAAGATGTATAGAGTGGTACGAATATCTAATGAAGATACAGAATACCAAA